AAAGAAGAAAACAGATGGCAGATCCATTCTGGAGTTAAAGCCTAAACTGACAGGTTACAAGAGCTGAATCTATTTAGTCATGAACAGAGAAGACTATGAGGGAACCTGATTCAAGCATTTAAGCACCTCAAAGGCATAATCCAGACACAGGTGGAACCTAGGGGGACAGGAGGCCTTCTTGACCAAACTGCACCGTCATGAATCATAAATTAATTAAAATCTTTGGGATCAATTAACGAAACAAGCTGTGCAGGATGAATTCCCACACCGTGTTTGTATCTTTTCCAATATTCTTACAAGTTAGCAAAACCTCTAAATAAGCTAAATACCAGGGGACAGCCAGCCCCTGGTATGGATTAAATATTCAGATCCTGTCTAACAAATGAATAATTGTATGGCATCTGCTTTTAACAAAGTTCCACACAAAAGATTAGATTACATTGCCATAGGAATCCAAGGAAAAGAGTGCACAAGAATTAAGAACTTGTTAATGCACAGAAACAGAGAACATGACTATATTTTGAATGTACTGTATAAGGCTTAAGTTTGAAGGAAAGAAGGTCATTACTGGCCACAGGGATCTGTACTAGGATTATTCCTCTTCCTATTCAATGGTTTATTTAAGATTATATTTAAGATTTTGCTATAGACAGTAAACGTTACTGATGACAATAAGAAAGCGATGCAAAAGACAAAAACACTATTCAGCTCAAGACAAGCACATGTTAAATTAAGTTTTAGGATTAGAAATGCATGACTGTCTGCATTACTTACAGGTACACAGAATACAATATTTAGATGATCAAATGCATGGTACTGGTCTGGAAGAAACAACAGAAGAGAAAGACAAAACAATCACACATGAGACATGTTAACTGTTATATTCCTTATCTATACAGTCTGCAGGACTAATAACAAGTAATAAGTAATAAAGGCCAGCAAAATGCTTAGATTTATAAGGCACTTTCACACCTACTGTAGTTCACTTGGAAACAATTATAAATCACACCTCATTTAGAGCTTTTTTTAAAATTCAGATTTGGTTCATTTCACACCAGCCAGCTTTACACTTGAGATTCTTTGGAAGTGAATTCAAGTTTGAGTGTTTACGACTGTAGCCTAATTCCAGGGCAGCAATGCTTTGGTTTCACACTGCACTCTTCCGAATGCACTGGCTCTGTGCTATATATTAGAGCAGAGGATCTCTTTAGAAAAGTATTCTCTATCACAAAGCATGTACAGTGCTCATTTGCTTTGGCTTGTCCGATGCTTACATCAAATAACTGCACTAGAAGAGTAATGTACCAAAAGGGTACTGTGTATTTCTCTGGAAAGCACTGTCCTTTTGGAGGAAATTTATGAGCCACCTCCGGAGTACAGGAGATTCAAACAAATGCAAATATTGCCAATATATTGCAGAGACGTGATTTTTCATTGACATAACCATGTTGTCTTTCTGACCAGAGATGGTCAGAATCTATCCATCTATTTTCTAACTGCTTCATCCCACACAAGGTCGCAGGTTGCCGAAGCCTATCACGGCACGCAATGGGCGAAAGGCAGGATACATCCGGGATGTGACGCCAGTCCATCACAGGGCACGCACGGGCACAGACATGCAATACACTAACACAAGGGCCGGTTTTCCAGGGCTGCCAATGAACCTACCAGTATATCCTTGAAGAAACCGTGAGGAGAACATGCAAACTCCACTCAGACTGACCTCGGGTCCAGAATTGAACCCAGGGCTCCAGTGCTCTGAGGCAGCGATGCCAATCACTGTACCACCCTCGGTCAGAAGCACAAGTGGGAATTAAGATGAGGAGAATTCAAGACTGGAAAAAGGAGGCATCGCACGACACACCAGCCTCGAAACAACAACCAAACATGCACGATGGGACAAATGGCCTCCTCTGGCCTGTAACCTTTCTCTTGCTCTTACAAGCTGCACGGAGGCTGCTGTACTACCTAAGGAAAAGCACGGATCATTTTAAAGGTGACCTTCAGCCGCAGCCACAAAAATTAAATACACAAAAATGACACAACAGAAATACTCCATCTTAGTTCTTTTCTTATTGAGGGAATACAGTGAGTACTAATATAGCCACACTTGTTCTCCTAGGTCATAAACCGCAATATATGAATGACATTATTTTACAGGCTTACAAAAAAAAAAGATTACTTTTTTAAACGCTGGGATTCACTGATCACGTTTGCACTTTACACTCCACTGTCAACGACATTTGTTCTTGTGAATGAGGGCATGCAGATACAGCAACAGCTACTTGATTACAAAATCCGTGTAAAGCTTCGTTAGTTCCACTATCTAGGTTGGCGAATGTGGTGAGTGCAAAAATGAACGTGGTGCAAATTATGAACAAGCAGAATCCTGTTACTCCGAACGCATCCGTTAGAGGACCAGAGTGTGAAAAGGAGTGTTTCTCTTGTTTTGAAAGATTTTTCAGGAGACACGATCTTCCGCGTGTTCTATTTTTACTCAAACAATTTTGTTCAAAGCAGATGAAAAATCACTCTGCCTGTTCTGTTTCCATGGAAAGACTTTCTTTGACCTAGGCAAACCCCCCTTTCTCCCACCATAATGCAAATGAGGTAAAAGAATGGGCTGATATTTAAATGTACACAGTGCCATTTTTTTAGGTTATATTATGCTGTTTTACAACAAAAAAAAACTCCCAGGATGTTTGTTTTTGATGGCCACAGAACAATTATACAAGAGAGAATCTTGAGGAAATTTAGGTCAGGTCATATTTGACATACTTTTTATTACACGTGTTAAAAAGACACAATATGCCTGCAATATTTAAGCTTGGTTGTATAACCGTTATTTTCTATTTTATAAGAAATTCTAATGCTACTATCGATATTAGTCTTGGGAGAGGGAATATTTTAGTGCTGTTATACGGTTTTGTCTATTCTATTTCTGACCTCATTACTTGGAGAAAAAAACAAAAGAGCTGTACTGTACTGTTCGTAATTCGATGCTCCATTCAAGGCATGTCAGATTATTGTGGCTAAACAGCACCTTAGTGAAGAGCTCTGAAAGTTACTGCTATTAAATCGAGTTGAAATGTTTGATATGTATACTAAATAAAGCCATAAACAAGTCAGCCAACCCACCATGCCACACCATAATGATTTGGATATGTTGGTGATAAAATCACAGAATTATTTCAAAGGTGTTTTAATAATGGAAAAAAAAATTATCCAGAAGCGTAGCTTGAAGGCAAATTAACTGATTGAAGATTTATCAACATTTATAATAGTGAACATTGGTGGCCGGGATGTACTGTATTTTGTAGGGTTTAGATCTTGCAGAGCTTTGGCATTATGACTGCATTTTCATTTTTAAAGACATGCGTCACAATAGTGTTTTGTTTTTAAGTTCCATTAGCATAAGCTGCTGCAGCACAAAGATTATGTGCTTTGTCATCGTTCTCTGACTCTGCCCGCTAGCACGATATTTTCACATTTATAACTGCAAGCTCACCGACTGTGTATCAGATATTGTTTATTAGAATCTTCTCCTAAAAAATGGTTTTGGTCTTGACAGCATGCATCAAATACTCTGCATCATGTTTTACTTAAACTTGTTATAAGTGTGACTAACTCTCATGGAGGGTAATTTTTGTCATATCATGCACTGGACTGTGGAAAAGATGAGAGAACTGCCTTCAGAAGCAGCCAGACAGACATGGGAGAGACAAACACAGCCAATAAGGTAGAAAACTGCAGTGGAAATATGTTCTGGAGTGGTGGGGGGGATTTCAGGTTTATATTTTTATTTCCGGAAACAAGTCCACATCACTAGACGCACACAGTCAGCCATACCTGCAAACGTGTATACTGTACATACCCACATACTCTATCTCCGCCTCCACAGGCAGGGATTATATACTGTAGGCATGGATCTAAATGAGAGGTGTGACAATGGGACAGGCCGCGTTGCAGAACAAAACCATCAATAAATTACAAGGCAAAGCAGAAGATGGAGAAATAAAGAAAAATTAAAAAGGGCATGTTTCAATATTCCACTATGACCTAATTAAGAGGTGTGACTAGTCTTGTTCTACAGATCTTGTGACATTTAAATATGCTTCCAATATGGAGGCTAAACAGCCATGGAACTAAAAAAAAGTGCATTTCTGTTTCACCAATGATGTTGAAATCTTTATCTATCTTCAACTGCTTCAAATGCCATTGCGTTATGGGAAACACTGTCATTACTGGAGCTTTAAAAGCTCAGAAGAACTCAGGCTGATCTGTGCTCTCGTATATTTTGGTTAGTGAGGGAGAATCAATTCAATGTATGCTTCACAAAACATAGGGTACATCTAGCATTTTAATAAATCCGCAAGTTTAAGTATTGTATAAGGCATAAATTGTACTACTACAAGACACCCATAACCACGTGTTAAACTTTAAAAAAAACATGAATGACAAAAATCAAAATGCACGAGCTAATTGATATATTTTTCACTACGAATATGAATTAATAGCAAACATCATTAATAGCACCAAAGATAAACACGCATTAACGGTTTAATTTCGCATTACTTTTTTGGGAGGGGTAATTACAGCCAAACACACGGAATTCAACAAAGTTGAGTTTCTCCTAAGTCCAGAGAATAAAAAGTGCTGGAGCGCTACGCGCAGGGTCGAGTTCCAGTCATCTGGGCAGTAACGCTACACAATGTCGTGTGACTGTGTGGTAGATGTAACCCGCTTTGTTTGCAGACCGGCGAAGTACATTTTTTTTCAGACATGCAACATTTAAATGCACAAGGTCCAGAAATGCGTTCTGAGTTCTCGTTTATGTGAACCATACAACGGTCTTTTACCACAACAAAACGCGGAGCTCTTTGATAGCAGCCCACCCCCCCCTCAATTCTGTGCAATGTGGGCAAAGCTGACCTGACTTTCTGATCCTAAGCATCAACATCTTTCACATGCTGACACGTTCCTGCAAGGCAAATGCTTACCAAACGGGCTGCCTCTGCCCAGGTGCGATCCTTTTTCTTCCGTTTGTCCTTCATCTCGGTATTTCATGGAGAAAGCAGAGGTGTGGATGAGGTTTTAGCTAGCAGGGAGACGAAGACAATGACACACTGACATACTGACACACACAATGCCGTTCACCGGGACCTCGCTGCAGCAGCTGACAGCTGGGAACAACAATACACACTGACGTCACCCGGGGAAACAGGCAGCGTTCTCACTACACACACGGCAGTTCTCGCGAGGTCGGCGTTCTCCGGCAACGCGAGAAGAAAATGCCTGGAAAGCGTTCTCTTCTTAAAGGGCCAGCGCGCCCACCGGGGGCTCAGCGACTTCTTGGGACAGGCTGGGCTGGGCTCGGTTGGCTGGGGGCGCTAAAATGGCCTGGATGGCGTTTCAAAACTGGGACTTAATCCCCTTCCCTTGTAAACCGTACCGCTGCTTTCGTTCTGTGGAAAAAAAAGCGCTCCTGTACCAGAATTGCTTGCATATAGAATAAAGTTGGCCTCACAACTTTTTTTTTAGTAAAATAATCTGTTAAATGAAAACAACGCTCTTATCAAGTTTATTTTTTATATCCCACCGAACCACTTACATGTATCTTCGTATTAGTTTGAATGATTGAATTACCACTTTTTTTTACAGATGTTAAACCTGATCTATAATTGTTTATAAACAATTTACTCCAAATATTAATTAAATCAATTAAACTGCTGTAGTTTACAATATCAGACGTATTTTACAAGATGAAGTTCAATGCCGAGAGGAAATCGCTTAATAATACAGATGTGACTATATTTCTGCATTGAGTATACTGTACGCTACTGTGTAAATTATTTTCATTCCAGGAGTTTAACCTTCACTGAAAACATGCTCTTTCCTCTTGACGTGTGGTGTGAATTATGAGCCTGCTACTGTATCTTGGGCTTCTGCGGGAGCTGTGTATGAGGTGTTAAGGACTGTATGAACAGTATTTAGTCTTACAGAGCTTTCTGCGCAAGAAGAGCGAGGCTCTGCGCGAGTGCCCGGACACGAGGACAGCCCCCGAATCCAGCGTTCTGACTGTTGCCTGGATACCGGCCCACAAGCGGCCGGCCGGGTTAATAAAACCGGACAGACATTTTCCAAAGATCGGCATGGGAACACGACAATAAAATGTCGATTACTGACTGAAAATATACCTAAAAAATAAATAAAGGAAAGCTGTAACCTGTAAGTATTTCCAGACTTCTTTACAGTCACTAAAGTCGGCCTGACAGTATTACACGAACTAGCTTCGCAGAAGGATATACCGATGCGGGCGGTTGAACTTCTGAGTGCAGGATTTTTTTTTTTTAATGTAAGCTTAAACAGAAGTGGAAGAAAAGTTTTTTTTAAAAAATTTCCCAGCATTGTCGATACATTAAGGTAACCTCATTAAACACTGGGAATCTCGGAACCTTAGCGCGTTGCATGGAATAAAAAAAAAAATCTACTTTTTAAGCATAAAGGTTTAAAAATGAAGTCTTTTTGTGCATTCTGTCAGCTCTTTTTGCTACCTTGGTTTTAAAATAAAAAGTGGTATTCCACTTAATGCCAATATGCAAAGCTAAGTCAAATGAAAATACAACTACAATAAGTAATTATCCGAGAACATATGTCGAATGCCTCATTTTCGCTATAACGAATACAATTAAAGGAAACGGAGATGGTTACTGGTCAGAAGTTCCTCCTGGTCGAGTTAGTGGTCTAGAGAGGAGCTACAGTAGGATGTTTAGCTACTGTATACTATGAGTATATAGGAGATGTGTACCTGTTTTAAAAGGATTCCGGTTCACGATCGATACTGGGCAAATTCATGCGGTTAGAATGAGCTCCTGAAAAAAAACACACGGTAATTCGCAAAATAAATATTTAATTCATAGTATAATATTTCAGTTTGACAATAAGCATTAAATATTAAATACCGTGGGTTATTAATACATTATGATTTAAATACTGTTTTTCCGAGGAAATGCAACAATATATTCATCTCCCTAATAACCCTTTTGTTTTTTTTAAACGATAGTACTTATTTTTCCTTAGCTAGACCACCGGCGCCCAGTGAGAAAAGCAGTCTTAACTCTGGCATATCCTTTGTAGCCCTGGGGTGAAATATTCTCGGCACGAGTTTTTTCACACTTGGAAAGAAAAGTGAAATAATATTCTGGGATCTGTATCCCAGACTGCTGCGTCAGGGATCGTACAGGTGCTTTTCGACAGGTGTCAAATGTCTGAGTGAGACTGTCGCAACACTGCTCCAACCCACCAGCTGTGGACATGGGAACAGGCCAGGCCATGTGGAGAGGCTGGGCCAGGCTGGGGCTGTGCTTGCAGTCTCTTTAAAGCCACACAAGCTGGGGTAGGGCTCTGCCCTGATGACCTCCTAGTGTGTGGACACCACTTTTGCACACTAAGAAAAGTTTCCAGTAATTTCCCCATTAAAGGAACTGTCAGTTCACGGAAACAAGGTCTGCTTTTACAAGGGTTTTTTTTTAAAACTGAAATCCTAAGACTAGCAGTCGTTTACTACGCAGAGCAAACCTGGTAATAATACTCAGACGGCACTATCTGAAACCTTTCACGATCTGCTCCAGGGTAGTACAGGCACAGTGGGCAGTGCTGTGCAGAAGGTAGGGGGGTCCTGGGTTCGAGTGGGGCTCTGATTGGGTGGAGTTTTCTTGTTCACCCCATGCTTACATGGGTTTTTGTTGTGATAGTCCGCTTTCCCCCCCACAGCCCAAAGTCACACTATCTGAGTGAAATGGCATCAATTCCATGAGTGCCCTTTATCCCATCCAGGGTGTATGGGGCGTGGGGGCTCTGTGGCTCAGGATCTGCGCCTGTGGCTGGAAGGTTGCCGGTTTGAATCCCACAGCCAGCAGAGGAATCCTCCTCCGTTGGGCCCCTGAGCGAGGCCCTTCACCCCAGCTGCTCCAGGGGCGCCGTATAAATGGCTGACCCTACGCTCTGACCCCAAGCTTCTCTCCCTGTCTGTGTGTCTCATGGAGAGCAAGCTGGGGTATGTGCAAAGACACATTCCTAATACAAGAAATTGTATCTGGCCAATAAAGAGATCCTATCTTATGTCTCCTGCCTTGAGCCCTGAGCCTGTGGGGTTAGGCCCTAGTTCCCTGTGGCTCTCGAAGGAGAACAGCCTTCTGAAAATGCATGGCAGGATGACTTCATCCATATTGTCTGAAGTACACAATTTACAAAAACAACGTTTAGGCTTTTTGTTAGTATGACTTATTTTCTGCTCTTCTTAGTTCAATGTACTGTACTTTGTATGCCCCCCAAAAACAAAACCCTCGGTTATGTGTGTTTCTTTAACTGGGAACCTTTTCAGTTTGAAGGTATCCGTTTCTCTGCCGGAAAAGTAAAACCGGTGGAAATGTCTCAGGACTGTAAAAGTGGTGTGAAACAAGGTCCTGTTTATTTATTAACTTACATCAATATAAATAATAAAGAATAAAACGCAGCTTGAAATGTTAGATGCTCCATTCTAGTAAACGGAAAATCTCTTTTGGGCAGGTTGCGGTAAATCTTGCACGCTCCAAAATGCCTGAGGTTGAACTGCTCCGATTTTCCTCTAAGGAAGGTGAATGCCAGTTTCAAGGTAAGATACTGTAGATGGATTGCACTCTTTCAGTTTGTTTGTAGTTCTGTTTTATAATACTTAATTGTTTGAATTCTGTAGCTCCCTTACTTTAATTACTTTCTTACTATTTGTGTTCATAATGTGAAAATAGCAAGTGTGACGGGGGGATATAGCAGTTGCCTTAGTAACAGGAATTGCACTAGTATATCACCATGGTAACGGTATTGTTTACACACTCTAATTATATCTAGGAATTTTACTAATTTGACTGATGCTTCAATCTAAATTTAATTTAATATTTTGTAGCCGTTGATACAGCTGGGCATTTTACTGAAGCAAATCTGAGTGAAGTAGCTTGCTCCAGGGTACAAGAGCAGTGCCTCACCTGGGATTTACAGTCCAGAGCCCCAGACACTACACTACTCCACACTGCTGCCTAATTCAGCAGCTATACTACTCTAGAAATTATGGGAATTAATATTAATAAGCTCTGGGTGATTTAAAGTGCAAGGAAGCAGAAATATCTAAACAGACATCTAATTCCACTTTTTAGTGTGCATAAAATCCATGTTAGTAGCTGTCTGCTAAAGTGGATATTATGGGTATAATTAATAAAAGGTAAAAGGTCAATTGAAGCTTTCAGATTTTTTGTGCTTTATGGCTTTTGAAGAATAAGAATAAGAGGGCTTTAAAGAGGTTTTTGAAGAAGTTCTTCATAAAAGATTAATTCTTGAGTTGCAGGCTGTAGGCATTCAAGGTAATGCGTGGGCTGTATTGAGACTGAGAACTGGTTAATGGATTGAGAACAGAGTTAAAAAAAGGGAACGCTGAGATTGGTGTGATGTTATTAGAGGGGTACCACAAGATTCTGTACGAGGATCACCGCTCATCCTAATTGATATCAATCAATTCTGCATGAATATTCTGATACAGCTATTGTACTGTATTCATGTTTGCAGATCGTACCAAAATATATCCAAAAATACATGAACTGTATGTATTCTCTGTCAGTTACAGGATGAAGAGTTTACTTGTATGTGCATTTTTACTATGGCAGTTGAGTTTGGAATATACTGGGAACTGTGAGTCAGGGGACTTCACTTGCTCTGGAAACTTTGAAAAGAGTTCATCACAGAGATAGACAGAGAAGTCAGGACTGAAACATGTTTTCTGAACGAGTTACATTCTCGGGCTATGACAGGCATAGACATGTAGCCGGAAGTACACTAGCATGTTGTTTGATCTGATTTGAACATGTTGTTGAAATTCTGAAACATGGATTACACTCTGTTGACCAAGCTTGCAGCTCTACAATCATTAGAAGTTAAACAAGACGTTTAAGACACATTTTGTTTTTAAATGCTACATAAATGCAACATAAAAATTTTGGCAACACAGTGTACAATAATCAGAAGTACAATGTTTAAAGTAATTATAGTTAAGCTAATAATTATAAAAACATCATCCTACAGTATACTCGGAGGGCAATGGATTTTCATGGCTTTTGTTTAGTAAATTGAGATATAGTGAAAACTCAGTGACTGCTAATTGCTGTTTAAAGGGAGGAAGGCAGCTGGAAAATTAACACCAAAAACAAAGAGTCCTAAGTGTATTGTTACAAAATGGTAAAACTGGTAAGAAATAATAGGAAAATGAAAATAAAAAGGATGTGTTATTCAGCAGTAGAAAAAACATGGGAAAAGGAATTAGTGCAGTCTTTACTGACATAACATAAACTGGCACCAAATTCATGCTTGCATTTTGCATTCATGCTTGCCCAAAAAAACCCACTAGTCAGAACCTGGCAATTACAATGTAAAACACAAATTCAATGAATATCACTGGGTTTGCGAACACACTTCATCTATTAAGAGTTTATCAAAACACTTTCTGTGAACCACATCTTCTTTAAAATAAATGATCCAATTTAATGTCCCCTCACAAATACACTTATTGTCAAATGATGCTTGTGTAGACTTTACAGACTAGCCACAATATACAAATATTTTACAAAGCAACACTAGTAAATAGTGTAGCTAGAAAATAGACTCATCTCTGTCAATCCAAAAGCAGAAGCCAGTACGTGAGGTGGATAGTGAGGTGAAAATGCTATTCATTTCACTTTCTCAAAACAATGAAAATTTACGACGTTAAATATTTTCCCATAAATTCTTACTTCAGTTTTGCCACCAAACAGTCACAGTGATGTTATGTTAACAGTTTTTCAAACATAAAGGAGCTGTCTAAGAAGACACGTTCCCACTGACTTTATACATTAATCAGGTCCATAATTGCAGTTTTTGTGGTTGTGGATTCACTCACTCTTTAGGCTTAAAAATCTAAGACTGGAATACTGAAATGCATATTTCTGTTTCATGGCAGCATATCCTTTTGTAAGAGGATTTAAGTATGTTCCTGTCACTTAAAAAAATAGGTTTGAAAGGTGGTTCATTAAAGCTTCAAACCTGAAAGCTAACCTAATACAAAAAAAATAAATTCCTCATAATTAAATGATCATTAACATTACATTGTATTTGATTTGGTACTGTCTTAAACATTTATACAGCTCAATAAAATTGTGGTAAATATGGTTTAATTTAAACATGTAGATATATCCTTCAGCAAATCATTTTGAATCACACTTTTTATGTACAGTACTTCATCTAACTCCATTCATCACAAGCAACAGTACAGTAAATTCAAGAAAGTCTCAGTCCCACGAGTAGTAATGCCACAATTGTAGAATGAAGAACTGTAACAGGGTCCCTGCTCATCCCTGGTGTGAGCTTCAAGGAAACCTTTCACTGGGCAGTCACAGCCTGTAACTCGTGGTTTTTCCCAGCTAAGCAAATTTAAATTGTGGCATTATAGAGCTGTATTTTTCTTCTATGGGCCTGTTGCTTCACTGCTTTGGGGGACTGTAACCCCATGTCTTACCCCCCAACACAGATCCATGGTAACTCCAGGAGGAATAAACCATAACGTAAACCAGAGGCCATACACTAAACTGTAAACCCTACTCTGGAGACCACATCCCAATCACTACGAACCCAAAACCTTCCAAACTGCAACCATAAACCCTTAACCATGAAACCAGAGCTGTGAACCTTCAGTACGTTCTCTATTTTGTAACTGCCCCCAATTTTATTGATAACTTTGTTTCACCAAGCCTGTTGCAGAAAAAACACCAGAGCACAACTGAAAGATTACACTGTCAGTCGTTACATTGATAAAATGGCACTTTCAAGGCGTCCACATGCTGTGCCCTGCTCTGTTTTATTTTGGGCAACAAGTTGAATTTTCTTTTTTCAAAAGATTTAGAAAAACAAATATCGCAACCAGTGCTTGATTTTACAGAGATTTTAGTTTTAGCAACTCTTAATATCCAAGGGGGACTCGGCACGCGTGTGTTTTGGCTGAAGTCTGGGCTCACTCGTGGTAAAAACCACTTATGGGACCTTGTTCTCACTCTCACCACGTTACTCTCCTGCATGCGTCAGAGATGGCCTGAGGAGAACCAGGTTGGACCCCACGTGGCGCTGAGAGGAAGGCAACCGATTGGCATCCGAATCCCGAAAGCGAAAGGCAAAAGTCGTAGCGGAGACGAGAGAACTAGGTTGGGCGGCCAGAAGAGTCAGGTCGAGTGAATCCAAGTCCGAGACGAGAAGCGAGGCGAAGTCGTAGCGGGAGGAAACAAGGTGGGGCAGCCAACAATCAGGTCGAGAGCCGCAGCACGCACCAGAGAACGCTGAAGAGAGCTGAGCGGGGACTGAGAGGAGCGCGAGGGTATAAATGGGGAAGAGCTCGAGGAATGAGGATTGATGAATTAGCGCGCGGGTGTTGGCGGAGAGAGATGCTCGTAGGTGAGCGGTTCGTGACAGCATGTCCTGCAGCTGGGCACTTTTGGTTCATTAGCCATCTGCTTTGATCTGGATCTCCCATTCCGACTAACTCTGTGCTATTACGTTTTGTGACAGGTCTGTTGTTTTCCCGAGCTGGTTAAATTCTCCCGTCGGCGGCCATCAGCCAGCTAAACTTCAAGTTCTACATTCCGCCGGGCTTTTCCATCCTTCGGTGGCATTTGTGATTGTTTGACTCCGGAAGAAAAGAGAGTCATTTACCGCTCAGCTTGGTACAAAAAACAAAACGCAGTAGTTGGAAATCCCGTGTACAAGCAGATGGGGACACTGGCCTGTTTGTTATTTTACTTGCCTTGAAGCAACACAACCCAATAGTAATGGACTAAGTGTAACACAGCTGCAGTCAGATCATATCTTGTGATTCCACTTTTGAGAATTACAGTATTTATAAAGTAATCTCATGCTTAGTGCATTCACCTTTAAGAGTTAAGTGCAGTGCCTGCTTGGCAGTTATCTGAAATGATCACTAAAATGACGTCTCGCCACTTGTCCTTGGACCCTGTTCAAACTACCCTGCTGTGTTCAAATTTAGCAATTTTGTGTCTCATTGTCCTATAGAGTATTAATGAATTATTAAGTACTGGAATTGTGCCCTTGATCCTTCAACTTGCATTTATTATCCCTTTGCTGAAATTGAACATTTAGACTCTAGCCTCTTCAGTAATTATGGACCAATATCTAACGTATCTTTTTGGCAAAGGTTGTAGAATATTGGTAATGCCTCATTTCAAGGGGAAATGTTATGTTTTTCATAGATGTACAGTAAATTGCGGACATACTCAGTAGACACCCCAGGTAGGGTTTCGGTTAGCATTCACACACTACTTAGACAATTTTTAAGCTCAGCGCTGGATTTTGAGGCCCAAGTCAAGTTTAGGACAAGTGCTTTTTTGCTCAAATCTGATTTTTTTTTCCAGAAACTCTGGGGCCTGGATAGTGCGGTGCACCGTGCAGTAATTGTATCCCAAAACTGAGTCAGTCGTATCACAAGTTGTAACCAAGTATTATTGAATCTCATTTATTTGCAGAACATTGATGAATGGTTTAGAGTTTTTCACTCTCATACTTTTTGTTTTGGGGAACATGTCAAAAACCAATTCCCAGGGAGGTTCAGATATACAGTAGATGTAGTAGAATGCACAAAAGTGTTTTGTTGTAATAATTTTAATTTTAAATAAACGTTTAGACTTTTTTACATACTTTACTGTATGTTGCATTCTTTTACTGGGTTTTACTCTGCAAGGTATGAGTGTCACGTTCTACGGTCATGAACCTGCTGGAAGAGAGCAGGCAAACACAATGTTGGACATTGTCAAATTAAGAAAAATTCTGATTACCATGGCAACATGAGTTATCTGCATTCATGGCAGTTTCTAGGAGGTGGAAATGAAGCTGTCTGTAGATTTCTGTAGCTGTTTGCTTTTTATTTCTAAGTTAAATTTAAAAAAAATAAATAATTTCCATTGTAAACCTTGAGAAGTCATTCCAAACCAGTTTTCTGGAAAATGTTTTATCGAAAGTGACCACATTTCAATATTATTTAACCACTCCATGGTGTTTAAATAGCCTAATTTTGCAAGGTTGAATTTACTTAACAAACAGCTGCATTGTGTGTGTTGAAATGAGAAAACTGGAGCATTATACTGTATGTGTGCAAATACCTTTGTCCATGCTCAGTGATATCCATAGCAGAAATGCCAGCTAGAAAACAACAATGATGGTTTGACTTCTTAAAGAAGAAAATAAGTCAGCACTAGCCCATTTAATTTTTATGACACACATGAGTCATAAGACATGTTGAGGATATTGAGGAGCCCTATATTAAGTTAAATGCAGTAGGCTTGTCACAGAATCTGCTTTGAAGCTGGAGCTACTTTTCATCTCTCTAAGCTTACTTGAGATGGCATTTTTAGTTGTTTTGATGTTCAAGGAAAATATGGAATACCAGACGTGTCTTGTATTCTTTGAAGTTTGGTATGCAGTATGTTTTGATGTAGTAGGCTATTACATTTTCCTGTAAAGCAGTGTATGTTATCCAAGTACAAACTGCACTCAGACGCAGAATTAAAACATCAGGTAAACATTTAGGATGGTATTTTTTGTGATGTTTCACCTTTTGCAGTTTATGTGAAAATTCAAAATATCTTTGTATGTCGGGGACGAGAGTGAGTGAGCAGTTAAAAATTGAATTTTACTCCATGCCCAAATTTCATACAAAGTCATCTTTCTCTCTTGTAATGCTATTTCTGTATTGTTTCATTATCCAGAGAATGCAACAGAAGCCCCTAGCCGTTCTTAACTCATTTTGTACATGTTGCAGTACATTAGGATTATCAGATACATGCAATGTTGTGGAAAAAAAAGTTTTGAAACTTTCCATCTATCTATTTTCTAATTGATTTATTTTTGTTGAGGTAAATCAACACAGGATTGCAGGAGAGCCAGAGTCTTTCCCAGCAAGCAGCAGGGACAAGGCAGGACACACACTGGACAAGATGCCAGCACAGGGCAAACAGACACAAACATGCACACACTAACATCAGGGCCAATTAAGCCAGTATGTCTTCAGACTGTGAGAGGAAATCAGAGCATGTGGTGAAAATCCTCATGAACACAGAAACAGCATACAATTTCCACCCAGGTAGCACCCTAGGAATTGAACCCAGGGACCCAGTACTGGGAGGCAATGATGCTAATCACCATGCTACCATGCCACCAGTTTTTTAAACTAATGAGAACTTAACGTACAATCAAACTGTAGTCCACAGATGGGTAGTGGCATTAAAAAAACACCTTTGCATAATAAAGGTATTGTGAATAGGACAAAAGAATCCTTTCCAGCTGTAATATACAATAAAAATGTGTTGTATACAGTCCATTTCAGTATATACTATATTATGAAGAGTATTTTTCCAGGGATACATATTTTGAGACTTAAGTAGTTCTGTCATTATTTGTTAAAGTATCTTATTCATAATGTATTTGAGACTATTTTTTTCTATAAATGTGTCTGTTCTTTACTGGGTCATGTGTTTCTGCAGGTGAAACCAATGACAATTTCTCAAAGGCACTGGTGTCCTCATTTCCAACAGCCAAGGTCACTAGTGAGACTATTCAAAAGCCACAAGAGAATTCAGATAATGGTAAGTACATATTTGATTAGAGTCTCTGACATTATTTGAATGACACCTAAGGATAGTCTTTGTAATTGCAGAGACATGTATTTGAGTTCATTTGATAGTCTGAAACAAGGAGTAAAACATTAAGGTCTATTCTCACCAGATGTGACACACTTTATCCACTGCTAAAATGATAAATCTTTTACTGTAAAACTGTCTTTCACGCCAGTAGAAATAGGCATGCATGGTGTGACATATAAAATCTGATTGTAATATTTAAAAGAAAAAAGTCTTCCCGTTTTAATTCAGAATTACTCATAACCTTTCATGTTCTATACCCACTGAATATTGAATTACAATTTCTTAAGACTTATCTCTGTCAACAAGTCATGTACTGTACCATTTGGGATGTGCTTTCTATGTATTATAAAGCCCATTAAGGTGATAGTTTTAGAAGTAATTTATTAAATAAAATATATATTTTTGCTGTTATTATTAGTTACTCTTAGTTTTGTACTGTAGCCAAATAGGAGGACTGTAAAAACCCCAAATCCATAAAGGTAAATCTTAAATACAAATCAGTAAAGGTTAAGGAACCATATACACAATGTATAGTGTCTTGCAAAAGTATTCATATTCTGAAAATTAGATAACGATAAATTTTTCTAAAATTTAATATTTTATTCAACACCTCAATGCTAATAATGAAGACTTCTAAGGATAAGTTACAGAAAATATCTTAAAGCTTTCTTTATCCTTGACTTGTTTTAAACCACCTGACCTACTGTTCACTGTTGGGAACTTGCAGAGGTGTATTCATTCTTAAATCTTGGGAACAGCAATATTGTGTCTCACCTAATTGTGTGGCTCATTTTGTGCACCTAAATTAATATAATGTTGCAACAGCAAAGATTCTGGATACTGTATAACAATCATGACAGGTTCATTTTTCTATTAATTAATTACTTATTTACTTATTTATTTTTGTTTTTTGCTTTGAAAGTGTGGAGTATGTTGTGTGTATAACAAATATTAAGTACTACTTCAAAATGCCATGACTGCAAGCTTTAAAGCAATAACATGTGAAAACAGTGTAAGGCACTATTTACAGTATCTAATTCCTGAATGTCCTGTCAATGTCATTTCTCAATGCAATATCCATATAATATTTAGAAACATTTCAATTTCACAATATTGATCTTTTCTGCTTTAATAATGTGTTTTCATTGGTCTGTTTCTTAGATTTACTTTAACAAAAGAAGAATTACAGACACAAATACTGTATTGTACTTTCCAAAAAACTAAAATACTTGGAAATTTAATCTCAATTAAAAACTTGTATTAAGAAAATACCACAGTTAAAAAAGGTATCACAACTTTCATTAAAAAAGAGAATCAATTTAAAGATTTTTCTTCTAATTAACTTTCTAAATAAAATGTAAGTACAAAATGATGTGCAAGACCTTGAAGAGTGTTAACTTCAACATTTTCTTCACTTTTGTCAGAACATCTTGAGCCTCGTACATACAAAATAACATTCTTCTTCATAACATTATGACATAGTTTGTTTTTCCTGAGTGGTTTTTGGATTTTTCAGGTGAGGAGAATGATTTACAGAGAGTCTGTTCCTTAAGACGCCGCAGTTGTGCCTTGGTTAACACTCCATCACCTTGTGTCAACAAAGCTATTCACCACGTTCAAGAGCTTGAGAGAAAGATTGAAGGCTGGATTCAACAGGTATGATTGATAATAACGAAGTGCATGTTTACTAAAGGTTCATTATTTTAGCGTTATGTATTTTGTTTTATCCAGGCTGCACAACATAAAAAATGGAGATGTGTAAGTCATGCCTTGCCATGCCTTGGTGACATCTTTTTAGAAAGCTCTCAGATTTAATGAATAGATGGATAGAAATCAAGCAAATTCAGAAAAGTAATCTGAATTAAAAATGTCATTTTTTGCAGCTATAACCCCGTTTGCTGGCTATTTCAGGATAATGTATTCTCATTTTGCCACCAATGCTAATTATGATGACCTATAGCCATGGACAAATAAAAGTGATTCTTACTTACATTATTTGTCTTTGAGGTAAAATATTTGCACTCTGTTAAACATTTATGATTATAATAAGAGTATCGTTATAAAGCAGTTAACAGAATCATTTGTTTCTGAGATATCTTTCAAAGTTTTTTGAGCTAACAAAAATGTAATCTTAAGTTTTTGAAAACAGTTTGTTGGAAGAGAAAAATAATATTCATGAAAAAGTCACTGGTACTGTATATAGATGTTTTGTCTTTCACATATACTGTATGAAATGAATAGAAGAATTATAAATGCTCACATGCAGAATGTTAAATTGAAACAGAGATGCTCCCACTGTGTAAATCTCCAAATATACAGTATGTAAGTAAGTTCCTTAATATCCTAAACTAACCAGACCCAGAAATGACACCAGTTAAGCTACCCCAAACCAAACATCTGGTTTTGTGTATGTATCATGTTTATGTGAACGTTTGTTTTGTTTTGACCACCAAACATGGCTATGAACAGCATGTGGCCACAAGCTAACTTTCTGTCCTGGTAATTATGCCATATCATTGACAGCTATGTTACTGTACTTCCCATGTGTATGCTGTTGAACCATTTAATTTTGATAACAGCCAAACTAGCATCACAATAGCTGCATTTGTGTTTTGTGTTTTGATTTGACTGTTCAAAGATGGTGTTAAGAAATAAACATTACAAGAAAATGTTTTACATGTATCAGCAATGTTATTATTATCAATGTGTGGGTCAAGAATTTCCCCTTAGTTTTTCTTCAAGAAATAAACTCAACAGACTTATTCCATCCCCCCATCCATTTTCTAACTGCTTTATCCAATAGCGGGCCGCGGGGGAGCCGAAGCCTATCCCAGCAAGCTCATTACTGTCGTAACTCCTTTATTACCCTGCATTGTGTATCGCTAAATCTGCAGCTTGAGCTATACATTGTGCACATCCTTGTGGGAGCCCTGCCGAGCAGGCCACAGCAACCGGCCACGCCTCTCCCACCTGTCAGTCAGGCCGGTTGCCAAAGAAACGCAGTCAGACAGGAAGCTTGCTGCACCTGTGGGTAGTCACCTTCTCCTCTGTCTCCTGGTGAAGCAGGCTATTTGAGGTCTGACCCCGCAGCGCTCTGCTGGGCTCACAAAGTTAATGCTGAGCCTTTCAAATTCTTTATTCCAAGTTCCCTGTTTTGCGTTCTGTTTCGATTCTCGTCCCTGCTGCGTTACAAACTTTGTTGCTTCATCTTGATCTCGGCTTTGGAAAAGCTACCCTTTTTAGAAAGAACGAAAAGCAACCTTTGAGCAATAATAATACAGTATATCCACTTTGATAATACTTTAGGCTGTCCTTGTGGCATGATCGTATTAGCATTGTCACTGAAGCATGAAAACGAATTCCCCCAATTATTTAGATTTACTTTGATATTGTCTCTATTTTGCTATTTGTAAAATGAAAGCTTGCATTATTTAAGCACATTTTGACCATAATAGAACAGTATTTGCCAACATTATTTAGATGTTGGACTAGTTCTTATTAGTACACATTCAAATTTGTTCAGCTGATCTTTGACTATGATCACTTGTCCCATAGTCATGGAATTTTAATGTACAGTATATGCTTCAGCTCAAATAGATTCAGAAAAAACAAAACGTCACAGAGGCAATTGTACCTTAGGAAAATTATTGATCTTGCCAAATCATGTGTAACTATTGTAAATAAAACATTTTTTAAAACATTTAACAATTGTTTTACATTTTATAATCTGTGATTTATAGATGGAAAGGGAAGTTTCCCCGCAGACAAATCACAGTGGCAAAATTGTAAGGTAAGAGATACTGACAAAAGAAAAAATGAAAAAAGATGTTTGAATGTACAGTATGTATCTGTACAGAGTATGTTCTGATGCTTAAATTCTTCCATTGTATGTATTTTATTTTAGATTTTCAACCACAGAAGGTAATACTGCTCCTCCCATCATCACGTCTTTAGTTTCTCCCGGCCTGTGCATTGAAGGGAAGGAACTTTGTGTAAGAGGTAAAATGATTTTCAAAATATTTCTCTGGGTAATTTAATGTGTGGACCAATCATGGCATACTGCTATGAAATGCACATTTGTCAAAGTTTCATCAACTACAGACATAATAGCTGTAAATCTGAAATATTTAGCATAAACGTAAGGGGAGTTTAGATACAACATGCAATCATCTCACACCTCTTTTGTAGCACTCTCTAAAATAATCAATAAAACCAGTCTTGTTACACTTGATAAACTGACCCCTGAAATGGGAAATTATTATCCCCTCAATTTACCCGATATTCAATGTCCTTTTTGTTGCATACACTGTCATATGTGCTGGGAATTATTCTGTCTTTGGCTAATATTAAATAACTGTTTGCTATGGCAACATGCCAAAATAGCCAACTGAAGATTTATCAAACCTTATTGACAGGGTATGTGTGTAGAATGCAAGTACAATAAAGTTCAGTATCCGTATAAAAAAGGTACAGTATAGTGGGTGACAAGAAAATATTCTTAATCAGATTCACTACTATACAGCTTTGACTTTCAGGAGCTATTTAAAAAAAAAAGAATTGGGGGATAGCTAACGTGATCCAACAGTGAGTATCAATCTAACAAACAACATCTTAGATGAATCAGACTGAATGCGGATACCACTGTATAAAATAAAATTAAACCAAATTAAAATACAATTGGTATGTCTTCTTGTTGTTTAATTTTATAGCCTTTCCCAGTATTTCAAATTGAATTGCTTAATATTTACCACTATTCCCTGCACTGTTAATGGAGGGAAATCAAGTGCAATCAGATCTATGACTCACAGTAAAACACTTGGCATTTCTCCAGGTTTGGCTTCTTGTGCTAGGCCTCCAGTTTTGCTCTTGCTCCTAGAAACAGTTCTGATGTAATATTTAAACGAAGTTGTCATATTTTGCAGTTGAGCAAATAAAACGGGCACCCCAGAGGAGCACCACCTCCCAAAGTTTGAATCCTATTTCAGTCTCTGCCCTGCCATATTCAGCGGCTTGCTTGTGTTGCTTTCTTTCCAAATGGCCAGTCATTATCAGGAGGCTTTCCCGAATTGTTGTTTATACCCTTTGCTGCTCTGTCGCAGAGGGCGGCACATCGACCCCTCTCAACGCAGAGACAGGAGCCGTGCTGTTGGAGGTTATTGACCTGCTTGGCCGTCTTGAAGCTGACCGCCAAGAGGCAGAAGAGGCTTTGAAGAAGGAGAAAGAGCGAAGAAGAGCACTTGGGGAGAAAATCGATCGCCTGTCGCTGTGGAGGCTGCAGCAGCTCCCAGCTGCAGTGCAGAAAGGTAGTGCTGCTAACACCACAGTACCATTGTTTGTGTTGCCTTCAGCTGTCATGGAGAGTAAGAAAACAATCAATGCCTACATACTGTAAGCCAGCACCACTTGTGATTCAAGTATTCCGGCTCACCATGTTGACTGTCTGTTATTGTGGACACAAGTAAAAAAGAAGGGCTTCTAGTAATCAATTACAGTAAATGTTTCTTAATAATCCTGGTCAATATACTGTAGGTTTTGTGTTAGTGTAAGAAAGCAGCATTGTAGGTTGTGAAGTGTGGCAGGGAAATATGTACAGTACATCACAGTTTCATTCTTTGGAGTACTACTTTTATTAGAAGTAATTGGTATTTTGCCAAGGGTTAAAATTCAGGGGTTACTCATTCTGTCTGCTTTAATGTTTAACTTCTATTATACTGTATCACATAAACATTTAAATGAATCATGTACACTAATGTATAAATCTTAATTTTCAGAAAACATGAGTATTTAGTTTTATGAATAATATTTATGCATACGTTAAATAAATAGGATAATTCTTCAGGCTACAGATACATACATTTAATTTAAATTTAATATAATTAAATGCACTTCAGGATGGCCTTTTCCCAGAGTTTCAATTGTTTTGAAGTGTTTCATTCTTTTATTTCATGTTTGATTCTCTTATTATTATACTTTGCATTGATAATGATGTGCGATTAGATCTCATCCTTACAACCGATGATGTGATGTGTCCTCATACCTCTTTGAACCATTCTGTTTAAACTACTAAATGGAGTTGTCACTGAATGTTCAGTTGAACAAATCCCAGGACAGCAGAAGAGTGAATCTTGTACAAAAATATATGTCAAAATACAGTAAACCCTCAGTTTAACAGAGTAATAGAGGGAAGAAGTTTCCTTTATTGAAAATGTCCAATAACTCACGAAGGATGTTTTTTTCAGCTGCCAAACAAACTATTACAAGATAAATATATATGTATTGTACATCTTCTTTCTGTATCTGTTGACTTATTTTTTAACAATTGCAATCAACACAGTTGTTGTTTTATTTTTAATTAGCTAAAGCATACAATGCAGCAATACCCATTGTAAGCTAACTGCCTACCCCTATACCAATTTTCCTGTACTTTGTCCTTTATTGTGTGGGGGGGGATTCCTCTTCAGCAGATTTTGTCTGTGAAACCGAAGACTGTTCAACCAAGAGTTTACTTTATTAAAGTCTGACAGCTGTTTAACCATGTGAAAAATTCACAACATTCTTGTGGAAACAGGATCATTGTGGCATATTAAATGTATCCATGAGAGGTTAGGAACCCTGTTGTCACAAAGGAATAACCTGAGATCATGAATGGAAAGAGAGCAGTAAATCATTGCCTCTAAGTTCTGCCCATGTAATATCTATCCATTTAAAAGACCCCAGTAATCTAAGAGCGAATCTATGTTTCATTGGACGTAGATGCCAACAATGGAACTATGTAGTTATATTTGATTGTGTTGTGCATTTCTTTCTATTTAACAGAACATGAAGCCTGTGTCCGAGACATCAGTGAATTGCAGTGGCATCTTAAGTTCAAAAAGGAAAGACTGCAACACGTGAAAGATCGGATGACAAAGGCTGAAGTATTGAACCAGAGGCTGTGTGAAGACATTGACTTTGTGAAGAAACATGGTCCACTTTTGAAGGGAAAGCTGGAAATGGAAAGCAGTATAATGAACCAAATTAAATGTGCTCAAGATGAGGTATTGCTGTTATGATTACTTAGCATTAAGTACTACCATTTTTTAAATATAAATATACTTTTACATATAAAAGTTGTATTTTGTACTGTTTGCTTTTCCTTTTCTTTTAAAATATTAATAATTATATAGTGGATACTTTCTAAAAGAACTACTGTAGCCATTTTCTTACAACTGGCATGTGTAGAAAATTCTGAATAATTGTTCATTAACTTTTGAGAAACTACAGAGAAGAAACTACAGATTCATAATGAGCTTGCATGGGTTCAGTCAAATGAAATACTAACACATAACATTGGCTTTTGTGCTGATACTGTACCTTACATTTCCTAGCATGCAACCCAAAATGTATGCAGATGATGTGAAAAACCTTGCATAAAATGCATTGAAGAAAAAAACCTCTACTATACAGTATGTTAAACTTGAATCGGAATGTGAAAAATTAGTCATGTTTCATTCATGTTACTTTGATTAGAGGGGTCACATAGTAACATGATGCCTAGAGCTACATCTTTGCAGCTCTCGGATCATGAGTTCGATTCTGTGAGGGGTGCCTTCTGGAGTCTGCATGTTCCCCCTCTCCCTTAATCTGGATGCTCTGTTCCCATTCTAGTTTCCTTAATCGTGCTTACTGGCTAGGGGTAATTAGTCTGTATTAGTAGAGTGTTTTTTTGTGAGTGTGATCTTGTGTGTCCTGTAAAGGATTTTTTGTGTTGCAGTGCCACTGTGCACTGTGCTTGTACATTAGCATAGGCTCTGGACTACCGCAGTTCTTAACAGGAATTAGTGGCTTTCTGATAATGAATGGATAGATGACTGTAGTAGAAGAACATAAAAAAGTAGTCTTATGAGAAAAAAAGTGATTTGTTGACTTTTTACAATGAAAGCAGGCTAGACATATTATTGTTCAAGTACCAGATGAAACAATAAAAAGTTGTACTGTAAATATATTGAGCTGGCCCATTCACAGTGATACCACCATATTCCTAGTGTATGATGAGTGTAATTAGGTATTTATGACGATTCAGGCTGGGATGGTCCAGCATCGGTCTTGCTGGAAACATCACAGAACCACATTTCTGAGACACTACAATGCCAAGCATAATGTCAACAGTAAGGAAGGAAGTTTTCAAGTACATCCAGCTACTGTATTACAGTGCTGGAACAAAAAATGGATAAATGTCCCACAACAATAGGCATGCCTTCAGATGGCAGCAGCCAGAGAACTGTCCAAAATCCACTAAAAACAACCATATATAATCCTGTTCAATAATATGTGAACACAGCAATTATGACTGATGGCCTGAGTGAGTTACACTTCTACCAACTGTGTGTATGTAGTGGGGACTAAGCCATGGAACTTGAAGACTTGAAGGTTAATTGAGGTGTCTGCTCTGTTTAGGAATGCTCCATCCACTGCTAATTTAGTTGTTTTACTGCTCTCCTACTACCTGAACAGCACACCGCTTTGCCATTCCATAAAGCAGCACAGCTTTTGTAGGAATCACAATTTCTCCATTATAGCTTTGTGCTACAGTATATTTTTTTTGCGTTTCGTGGAAACATCCATTTTTAATTTTTTTGTGTTTTCTTTCAGGCCAATGAGACACTGTCAAAGGCCGTCCTTGATCTCGGAAACGCGCAGCAACATTTTGAAGAGGAACAGCTCAGAGCTGCCACAGAAAGAAATGGAATGGCTAAAGAACTTGATGGTATCGCTGACCAATTAAAAGGAATCTTGTGAGTATACAGTATGAGTTTGCAAAGTAAATGTGTGTTTCTATTCAAATATATGCTTTGGAAGAACAGATATGTTTTTCAAAATATTGTATGTTTCATTCACAGTAGGAATGTTTACAGATCAGTTTATGTTGCTATGCAGTGCCCAGTAGATTAATTAGCTCACAGCTTGGCCTGGTGCTTCGCTGTCAGTTGCAAAGGGCACCATAGTTTTGTAAAAGATATGATAAGTGAATTATCTAGTGGAGACTGCATACTTTTTGTATTCTTTTAAATACATTTATTGGGATTTATCAGAGGATAAATATCAGGGTTTTATTGTATAAGAGAATTTTGACTGCAGAATTGATTTTTTTTAATGCATGTTGAACGAGGAATCATTTTGCTCCGCATATAACCCTTACTTTCAGAGGATTTTAAAGATGGATGCTGCAACTTAATTCTTTTTGAGAATCATATCAAACTCTACTAGGTTTACAACTTTAAACCTAATCAGGTGTTATTTCAATTGGATTATGTAGTTCACTGCTGTCAATTTCTAATCCGGCAGGATGATGCAGGTAGGCACAGTCCATAAGTGATAGGCCAGGATCTGGGAGCCCACAAGTCACGTCATGTCTCGAACACTGAAAAGTCATTGTCCTCCATCCTTTCTGATCCTTTCTGTACTGGCAGTTCCGGTGTATCAAGAAAGGCATGTCACACCAGATTTAGTGTGATGAGGCATCTGAACAGTGCTTGTTGTTGTCCCAGTGCTCTGCAATGCTCATCCACCCCTCAGGCGCAATCAGCAACACTCTGTTTTAAAGCTTTCTGTAGACTATGGACATGCAGCTTGTTTTGCTTCCAATGATGGCCAGTAAATATAATAAAACATTAATAAATATAATAAAATGTCAGTACAACTGCTACAAAAAGATTTTAGGTATCTTATTCATAGCAGCTCAGCAAAACCATATCATACAAACTTTTGGAAAGGAAACAACTCCCCCAGTTCATTTCTAGATATGTATAAAGGATTCTTTGCTTTAAAGGTCCTGTGCCCTGTAAAAATCTGGTAATTTCACCAAGTGACCAATTCTCATAGAAAAGTTCGACTTTATTTTATTTTTGGTAAACATAAATTAAGTTCTACTGTCTTGGGGAAATTAATGGGAGTGTTTAAACTGTTTTATTTTGAAGAAGAAGTATTGGGACAGTTGATTGTTGGTCTTTTCTTGTTGGTCAGTTGTTTGCTGAGTAATTAGGCTTATAAAAGAGACGTGAGTTCAGTGTTCGGAGTGCTCCAGAAGTCAAAATAAAAATCAAAGAACTTTGTGTTAATGAAATACAGACTATTTGAAAACTGAAAGAAAAGAAAAACTCAGTCAGAACCATAGTACTGAAATCGGTCTGTAGTAACTTGGGGTCAGTTTGTCACCCTTTGTGTGGAGGGGTACTTCATAATGTTGCCAGATTCGCACGCATCTGTACATGACTGGTGCCTCACTTGTCATTCTTAATAATGTGACTAATGATGGCAGCAGCAGAATTTATTCTGGAATTTACAGAAACATTTTTCTGCTCATGTAGAAGAATATGCAGTCATATGGCCATTTTAACCAAGGCAGGAGACAAAAAGTTGAAGATCTTAGGCCAGATCAATCTCCATTTTCAAGTTTAAGTTGTCAAAATAAAAAAAAAATCTGTACAAACGAATTAAAATTAACAACCTTTCATAAAATAGTATTTTTTAGTTCTTTTTTTCATAAGAGATGCATTTCCCTTTTGTATTTGCAGAAAAGATCTTCAGCAGTTAAAGCATCACTGGAATGCCTATAGCAGCAAAATTGCAGAGATTGAGGAAAAGCTGACACTTAAAGAAAAAATATGTGAATATCTGCTGAAACAAATTCCTCATCTTCGGGAACAGGAAATAACAATGAATGGCGAAGCAAGTATTGCCTTACATTAACCGTTACATTCTTATGCATATACTATGTTTTCATTTGGTTAGGCATACATTTTTAATTTGTTTGGTAGAGTAATCGCATAATACACAAATGTTTTTCTTTGAGACTGATTAGTTAATAAGATGTTTATTTCATACAAACACTAGGAAAGTGTCTTGTCTGTTGTAGACATTTCCTAAGAATTGACTGCACCAATAAATGAGCTACTGTATAAGGGACACTACTGATTTTCAAAATAATGCTAAAGCCTTGCATTTTGTCTTACATAAGATAACAAGTAAATGTTTGCTACAATTTGACATTTTTTAAATTTGTCTTATATATTTTAATCTTAAAGGGATTTTTTCTTGTATGTTTTGATATGCAGGAATAAAACAAAACTGAATTATAATATTATTTAAAATGTAATATTATTTAAAATTCTAGATTTTTGTAAAAGCTAAGAACTGCATTTATTATTATTTTCACATACAATATAGTATACCTTTGAAAATATACCTTTGAAGAGTATTTGTGAAAAAAAATGATACTGTACAGTATATGCTTTGCTATTCTGTTGTTCTCTTTCGTAATGACAACGTACTGTATACCATAGGTATAAAGGAGATGTCTGTGTCATCATTACAAAAGGGCAATTTCCCCCTTTTCTGTTCTCTCCTCTTTTTTCTCTAACTGTCTCCTGTCCACTGTCTATTCATGTCGGGTTTCTGTAAATACAATTCTTTCTTTTAGGCAGAAGAGTTGAGATTAAAGATAGAAGATCAAATGCTAAAAATTCAACAGTTAGAAGAAGATACTTCAGAGCTTCAGAGACAAATTCAAGTGACTGTGAGTTGTTTTATCCTTATTGTTTAGCATTTAGATTAATTTGGCACGTTTACTGTAGTCAAGTATTTAAATCCACTTCTTTTGAAAGGAATTTGACAAATTATATTAAAATGTGAAAAATACAAAGAATGCTTATTACCGACTGTGATGTGGTTAAAAGTTCTTTTTCATTGAAACTGATTTTTTGTAAATAGGTAGTGTATGTATTGTGTTGACCATTATACATGCTTTTAAAACTGTAATCAGCTGTACTGAAAGTACAGTATATACATAACTTACATTAACATGTTTTACTACACACCTTTAAATGTTGTGTAAAGTTGGCATTCTGTAGTTGCTTAGATGTGAAAAGTTTCATTTTAAAACAACTGATTCGCCTCTTAATATGACATAGGGTGAAGTACAAGTCTTTTTATGAAGTTTTGTTGCCAAAACGACATATAGAAAGAGACACTTTAAAAAGAAAACCAGGCATTTCAGGAAATGTGTTGTTTAATATATGAGCGACAGTGGTTTCCAAAGTCTAGTTTTTCAATGTAATAAGAAGTCTACTTCATGACATTTGTTTTTATTCATTTCCTTAATTTATTTATTTGTAAGAAAAGGGCTCAATAGGGCAGCTTCAAATAATCACTCTATGTGGTGTTTCAGTTATTGTAGTACAGCAGGGGGTTCACTAATTCACACTTCCTAATGCAGCATACTGTCTGGAACTCACTTAATTGCTTGTCAATTCTGATACCAGTAATTGTAATTCTGGTATATTACTGTCTATAAACAAAGGTTTATCATAGTAAAATGCCAAAACTGAAAAAATATTTTTATTCGTTGCAGAATACATTTGTGCCAGGAAAATAAATGGCCATCAACACGGTGTTAGATAAAAACATGAAGTCCGCATTGAGTTCTTTTTCTTTTAATTTAAATAGTTGTCTTCCGAATATGTAAATGTGGGTAGAAACATGTTCCTTCTTTTCTAGAGCTCAATGGGTGAAGCTGAGGTCCGTCAGCTAGAGCAGGAATACAACCAGAAACGCCAAGCTCTGCTGGCACTGAGCGAGAAGAACAGAGAGTGCGAACTGGAGACTGAAGACTTCACTCGCCACATTCAGCAGAGGTTCGTGGATGTGCAGTGTCCAGAAAATACTTAAAGGGTTTGAATGATTATGTTCAATAGAAATTTGACACCGTGCCATCGGCAGACGATCAGCATTGCTTCCAAAAATCACGTGTTGTGTTAAAGGTGAATGAAAACAGCCTCACTTATTCTGGACATTTATGAGCAGTCAAATAAACTTTATTTGGTATATAAAAGCTGGGATATACTATAACTAATGCAAGCAATTATCAAATGTTATTCGTGTAGTGTGGTGTTTTAGTTATCAATTATTATTGCTGCTACTATTGATTGTAGCAGTGCTATTATATTAATGTACTGTACACATTTTGTAATACATTTTATGAAGTATTTATCAAATGTGAGTTATACTTATGGGGGTCTTTGTAACTGGTGCACTTTCCACCAGTTGTTCCACAAGTTTGTTTTACCTGTGTTTGCTACAGTATGAATTTCTAAGGTTTTAACATGCCTTCATATTGCTTTACCATACAGACCAAAGAGATACAGATACATGCATGGTACTGTATATATGATGCATCACAGTAGATGTTATATACAGTAGGAGTGTTTAATATACTGTAGTATTGTACTGTATGTTGTGGTTTATTCATGATCCAAGATAAGAACACAGTTAGTTTATGTTAAAACCACACAAAAAAAAAACCAAACAATAAAAAAATAGAATTAATTCATCATAGTACTATTTTCATGACTATACTTTAAAGATGTTATTTCAGGAAAATGCTGGGAACCAAATTAACAACATAACACAGATTTCTAAATAGTATCTGAACACCTGTTTCATGCTGATAGATGTAATTAATGGTCATGATTTTTATCTCAATTTCCATAAGTTATAATGTTTCATTAAAAGTTGATTTAATTTGTTTTTCCATCATGTGTCTCTTCCCACGCACTACGCGTTGCCTTAGTGAGCAATCAACTGTGCAGCTCCAGAAGGACAGGAAGAGGATGCTGCAGAAAATCAGCCAGAATGAGGAGCAGAGAGACAGGGTGAAGGAAGAGCTCTCCCAAGTGGCTGCAGCTCATAATGCAACCAAGGCAAAGCTGGAGGACCACGAGCAGCAGATATACGTGGAGGAGCAGAGGATGAGGGTCAGTCAGAGAAGCCAAACACCTGCACTTATGAAACATACTGTACAATAATGAGTACGATTTCCGGGACAGGTCTTTTCTAACACAGCATGTGCTTTTTTTCTTTCTCACTAGGAAGTAGCTGAAAACATGAAAAGGCAGATAATGAGTGAAATGAAAGCAATTGCCATTCTAAAGGTGAATATTTTCTTAATATAAATATAAGATTAACAGTAAATCAGCAGAATAACTCAATACTTAACTTTTATTGCCAGTGTTGGCTGTACATTTAAGTATGATGTTTTGTTTACAGATTTGTTTTCTACTAATGTGTAGTTACCTTGTTATTTTTTCATAGTTTTCTTTAGCTTAAGCACATTGTTTATAAGGAGGATATGGTATTTCATACAGCAGATGTTTGTGCTGTGTAAAATATTGTAATGTTTGCAAAACAGCTTTATATTTTATGTCTTTTGTCTTTAATCCGAAGCTCTTTAAATAACATTTAACGTTTGTAGAAAGTGATGCAAAAACTTTTAAAGTTTTACAATTATACATTTTAGTGATTTGGAATTGCAGGGCAAAATAGCTTCAGAAAAAACAGAATTACAACAAGGTCAAACTAATACAGAAAAGGAGAAAGTGGAAATCCAGAAGGCGTTTGAAGATTCATCGTCTTCCATTTTGGAGCTTGAGAAAGAGGTTGAGGAATTTCAAAGGATGTACAATGAGAAAAAAGAGGTAATTTCAAACTGATTTGTTAAATTAAATATGTTGTTCATTTATGAAGAAGTATTTTTTATGTTGTTTTATGTTGCTGCTTTATGAGATTTGGTGTAATCAAACATCCTCTACTAGTGCAGTTATCCATTCATCTGTCTGTAGATCTACAGCATATCTGCACAATTGTAAAATTATAAGCACAATGGAGAAGTCTTGTTGTTTTTGCAGGTTTATAGTAGATTTGCAGTACCTGTATATGTGAAGAAATGGACAGTATGTATAGAAAGGTTTAAACAAACTACATGTATTACAATTATACTGCTATTTTTTTTTTAAAACACCCTAATGTCTTGACACAGATGTCACATACTGTATTCAAAGATGCCAGAATATTACCTTTCTCAATGTGGCTGAGTGGTTTGTTCCATTCTCCTAAAACCCACTGTGTAAAGAAGCACCTACTGTTTTCAGTTTTTTCACTTTTGTTTCCATTTGTGTTCTCTGGTTCGTGTTTCAGTGTCAATTCTAATTAACCTATTGTCCAATGAGTTGGGTTTAATTATAAGCACTTCAGATGCAGGTTCTGTCTTCCTCTCTTCAGATAATAAGGTCTTAGTTATTTTAGTCTGTCAGAGTATGATAATTCTTTGTACCTGAGAATGTGATTGAGTTCTCTTCTCTGGAGCAGCACTATCTTTTTGTAACGTGATGACCAAAAATTCTAAATGAGATTTAGTAGTGCATTGCACAAACAACATAATATTCTTTGATTTAATTTCTATGCTTTTAACTATATATTCTAACACTCATTTTACTTTTTATTTGCCTTTCCCCTATTAAAGTTGTCTAAGGCACTTACTGTATAAAAGTCTTTTGGCATTTTAAATAGAGTGTATTATAAACTCCATTTATTTCCATAACCACTGTTGCTTATTCAAAGAACTCTAGCAAGTTTAACAAGATCTACCTTTTCTAAACCAATGTTGACTGTAATTTAGAAGACTCCTACTTGCATTGAGATGATCCTCAAGTTCAGGTTCTTAGTATTGTTTTCGTTATCTACATTACCCTTCCTGTAATACACGTAAGACGTATTGGCCTGGTATTACTTGGTGATGGCAACTACATTAGTAACTTAACCGTCACTGATTATTGAGTTTATTGATTAGGGAGTTTTGTTAACAGCCTACATTAACATCTATTTCTTCTTCAGTACAAATGAAAGAATACCATCAGGCACTGAAGATTTGTTTATCTTAAGTACTTGTTGTAACAAGCCTTTTCTATGCTAATATTTTTAATATCGATTTTTGTTCTTTCTTACCCTAAGGCATGTTGTTGATTTCTTCCATGGTAAACACCTTGGTGAAATATTTATTTAATACATCAGACATTTCCCTTTAATCATCTAAAAGCTTCCCCCTTAATCTCTGAAACGCATACTGTTATAGTTCACTTGCCATTGTTCATTTGCTGTTGTAGAAGGCTTATAAAAAACTTTCATTATTTATTCTATCCCACATTACAATAGGTTTTTTAGCATGTCTTGGCTATCCTTTATCATATGTCCATTCTTTAACAAAGTTCCCGAATGGTTCTGTCACCTGTTTTGCTTATTTTCTTCATTGTTTGAAGAGGCTAGCTCATTGTAGGCATCTATTACAGTAAGTGCTCCTAACAAAACAATTAAGGAAGCAATGGTTAGCCATGTCTATTATTTCAGTTTCAGCTACCGACATCCCAGACATTTTGTTTCCAATATAAGTGAGAAAAATTAAAATCTCCTGTGATAACCACCTTTTCTTTTACACATATATTTGTGTAAAAGAATACGAAATGACATGAATAAATAAAACTGTATTTTGATTGATATTTGAATTTAATGCCCTATACAAAACTGCTGCAGGTCCAACACAACATTAGAATCTATCTGTAAAATCAATCAATATCAAAGTAGCAAGCATATTCCTCGATGATTATTTCATTCAGTTGCTTATTTCAGCTAAAGCAAGATTAGAATGTCACGATCGCTAACCCCTCCTCTTAAGGGTGCTCCAGCCCTTCCTTGTTGCCTCCCATTGTCTGCACCTGTTCCCTATTCCTGCTCCCCCTTAAAAGCCAGACGTGGACCTCACTCCTGGTTCCTCATTGATTTCTGCATCTTGAGAGCCCGGGGTCCTGCTGCGTCTGGCTCCGTTATGGTTTTAACCTTCTGTTCCTGATCCCCTGCCCTGCTGGTCCCGACCCGGCTCGTGCTCTTAACCCTTGGATGGATCTCCTGGCCTTGGACTTTAGTCTTCCGTTTGGATTCCCCATTTGGACTTTGGCTTTGTTTGTTCGCCTAGACTCACTTCCCCAGGACACCTGCTCACCTCGGACACGCCCCCCTGTATCCAGACCCTGTCCTGAATGACTTTCTCCCTAGTGTATCTTCACAGTTCCGGATCGCATCGTCTGCATAGGGCCCGGAAAGCACTGTTCGTGACAAGAATTACACTCTGAAGGAGATTCTAGTCCAGTGGTTCTCAAACTTTTTGGACCAAGTACCACCCCTAATCCAACCAAAGCATCCAAGTACCACCTACAAGTCATCTTCTCATAGGAACCCCAGAAATTCTCAATAACCAACATGAGCGCGCGTGCACACACATTCACACATACATATAATAAATATTATAATAATAAACTTAATTTGATATGGCGCCTTTAAAGGTGGCTTCTCAAAGTGTTTTACAGAAAAAAAAACATTAACAACAACTAATAAAAAAGCACCATTTCAGTGAAAGGGGTGAGCCTGTTTAGTTGAGCAAAGCAGATGTGAATTAATTTTTCGAGCCTTGATACAATTCACAACAGAGTCTAACAGATATTAAATCGTCAGGCATTTTCTTGACGGCAAAGGTCTCGCGGTGGATGTTGTAATGCGTACATTAATTTCTGGAGCAACCTCTCTAATTCGTGCAACTACACCGTTATGTCAGCTTGTCATCGTTCTAGCACCGTCTGTACAAACTCAGACGCATTTTATCCAGTCGAGGCCATTCTCTTCGATAAATTCATTCAGAAGCTGAAATATGTGCTCTCCTGTAGTTCCTGTTGGTAGCGGTTTACAGAACAGAAAGTCTTCATGGGACATGCCCTCAAACTTGTATCTAACGTAAACGAGCAAATTGGCCAAATCGACTACAGACTCAGTGTACTTTTGATATAATCCTTCATTTCAATAATTCTATGAATGACTGTGTCTTTCAAGGGGAGGGGGGCAGCAGGTCGAGCTGTTTAGCAGCTTTTTCTCTACACATAATACGTGTCAGCTCTTTTGCCAACGGTAAATAAGGTTCTTCAGAAATAGTGTACTGTAGCTTACCTGCTTTAGCAATCCGCAAGCTTGCATTTTTCCGCGTTTCCGTTTTTATTTCCGTATTTATTTAAAGTTTTTATTTCATGCGCATGGGAGCGAAACACAGAGATGCTCGTTGTATTTTTCTCAAATTAGAACAGTTCTTAAATATTTTTCTGTTATCACGCTTTCGTGTGCTCACAAGATTACCTGCATTCGTAGCACGTATTTCTATGCATTCCTGTGTTTACAACGTTAACATTGTTCCAAAATCACGCACATTCTCCTTTCTCCCTATTTGCTGGAGATACAGTAGCTTTTTTTAAATACAATTAGTCATCTGCATCCGTAGCACGCATTCCTATAGAGTGGTATAGAATTACAGAGTATCTCTTGTGTCCACTGTAGTATTAGCGCGCACTGTATCGTAGTACGTAGGCTGCGTATTCGACACGTATTAAAATACAAAATATGTAAACCCGTCCCGATTTTTCAGTGCACACGACACAGTTCCAGGGTCATTTGGCGTACCACTTGGCGGCACTCCACGTACCACTGCCGGTACGCGTACCACAGTTTGAGAACCACTGTTCTAGTCCATCCACCTATATGAACAGCCTTTCAGGTAGAAATCACCTATATGAACAGCCTTTCAGGTAGAGATAACCTATATAAACAGTCTGTCAGTTAGAGATCACCTACTGTACTTATCTTTTACTGCTGTTTGCAAGCCATTGCCATAGCCATATCACTTAGTCATCTAAGTTATATAAACAACATTTTGGCTGTGGAGCCTACTTCAGGTGTCACAGCCAAAACGTTGTCTCTTTCCTTTTCTTTTCAGCATTGAATAAACCTTTAAGTAGGTAGCTGCTTCAGCCTCCGCATGCTGAAGCGGCTACCTACTTAAGTTTTAATCAAATACTTCGTTGGCATTTCAGGAGGAATGAAATCTTGTTTCAAGATTCTTTTTTTGGCTTTTTGAGTCCTGCAAAATATTTCTCCTACATCTCCTTACTCATTTGTCATTTTATATTTTAGTTCAAGCTAACCTTATTGAAATTATATATGAAATAATGGAAACACATAAAAGCAATTCAGGAACCATTATTGATGGTGTTGTACCAAAACAGATAAATGTCAGTGACAAATGTTACAAACCCTTCCCTCAGCAAAGTATAGCTGAAATAAGAGGAAGATCATATCGTTTGTCTTCATGATAGTTTGAAGGTGTGGTTTATACTGTACATCAGAGATGTTACCTGCCTCATGGTAACAAATAAAACTAGTTAAAAAATAGCTAAAGCTTAGATTTTCACACCTCCTTAAAACATTCATGAAATTTTAAGGAGGTGTGGATATCTAACCTTAAAATATTTTTGAATTAGAAATAAAAAGTCATGACATGACCGAAACTCTAAACAATGATGTTTCATTAGATCTCTGCTCTTTTGTTTTGCACTTTGTTGCCAAGCTTCAAGTTTGGATTTAAAATTTCTTTAAAAATTGGTGACACTTTATTTGAATGTTGGTGCATCTTTATAATTCTGTCATGTCTGTTACACAAGACATTCTAATTACATACATAATGCTTTACAGGGACATGTGCAAATGACATTACTTGTGTGTGGCAGGCCAGCAGTTTGAGGTGACCTGCCACTAGAGGTCGTTCGGACCTCAATATTCACATGGGGTGAATTAGGTCATTGATTAGTTAATTTTTAAAGGGTGAGAATCACATTCTCACATACAGTAGTTTTCAGTTAGCCCAGGTTTGGTACAGTATATAAAGGAATTCTTGGTGATAGTTGTTAGATTAGGTGTACTTTTCTAAAGACACGTACTGTATTTGTCCTTTCAAGATGGCGCCTAAAATAACCCGTTTACATGGTGTTTGTCTTTCTGTTTTGGTTTTGTACATGTGCTCAGTTCTCAAAAGCCTGCCTTTGAGAGATTGGCCCATAACAGTGTGTATAACAGGTCATGTTTGTTTAGCATTGTGTCATACCACATTCTGCAGATGATGCTAAAACAAATTTTTATGTACTCTAATATAATGCATACGTAATATTAATTGCTCATGTCGCTGTATCCATTATACAGCAATGTTCAAATAAAAGCATTAACAAAAAATGTGTATACAGTACATCATTTGTTTTGGGATGTCTTTGGAAGGGGGTGAATACTTTATATACAGTCATTATATACAGTATATGCAGTTAGTTGGCAAAGAAACACCTGGGTAAGTGGAGGTTTCTGGGCTTCTGGTGTGACTTATGTATTAATTAAGTAAACACAATCCCAGTAAAAATGCAGGATAGGACAAGTTACAGTGTACATCCAGGACAGGACACCATTCTATTACAGGGCAGACAGACACAAACACCAGGGCTCGTTTTCCCAGAGGCAAATTAACCTCCCAGTATGTCTTTGGAATGTGGGAGGAAACCCACGCAGACAGGGAGAGAACATACAAACACCATGCAGATAGATCAGCAGGGCCCCAGAGCTACAAGGTAACAATGTGAACCACTGCACTAGTGTGCTATTCATTCCACTTTGTGCAAAATGTGTTTTTAGCCTTACACAGGTCTTGTTAAATTTTTAATGACTTGTTTGGAAAGAAACAAATGTGTTCTACTGTAAGTTAAATTTAGAAATGCTCCATATAGATATGGATCCCTATACCTTGCAAAGTAATTATAATCTCAAGCATTTCATACACAAAGTTTGTTTAGTTTGACTTCAGGGACATTAGTTCTAGCTTTTGAGAACACATCAGCCACCTCAAAATTACAAATGTAATTGTACAATTTTAGTGGTGTTCTTTACCTATCCAGTTCAGATTTGTAAAGTTGACAGGAGGCACTTCTTTGTGAAAATAGTTGAAATTACAGTATATTCAACAAGCTACCTAGAAATGTAGTTTAAACCAAAACCATGGCTTTTTCAAGAAATGCTTGGATATGATCCGTTAATCAATTAGTTGCTAACTACAAACAGGAATAGATTGGCAGAATGTTTTACTTTTCTATGAAAACTTTCCCAGTGCATGTGAAAATAATTTCTACAGTTCCAAATAAATTCTACAGTTCTGTCATGTTTAGTATAGTTGTATAATTGTATAGTATTAACTTTAGTAACCAACTGCAAATACTCGTCATAGTCATTAATGACATTCTGTATTTAAATTCTGCATAACAGCCTTGTTCTCTTTAAGATAAATAAAACTTGGTGATAATGTAACATATACCAAAAAAATACTGGTTCCTAGTGACATAAATTTTGTAGGAAGTTAGAAGAAACCAGAAAACCCATAACATGTCTCATCTCCTTACTTCACCAAACTTGTAGCTTGTATTTTTTCTATTCTTAAGTCTTGCTGATTCTCTCAACTGATACAGTATACAGTAAGAATAAGCACATCTTTACAAAAGTAAATACTGTTGTTGATCACATTCATGCATCTGATTATATTTATTTTTAGGATTAGTTTTATAATAAACATGAAATAAGTAAAGAGCAAATGTTAGAAATAAGGCCTATGCATTTGTGAATTTTGTCATTTTTTTCTTCATTTTCTGTTTGCTCAGTGTATTGAAAATATGAAGAAAAATATCCAGGAACTTGAAGTGCAGCACAAAACAACAGCTGAAAAATTGGAACAGAAGAAAACCACTCTCCTCCACCACTTGAGAGATGTAGAGGTAAGGCTAATCAGATTACAGTAAGTACAGTACGTTGATCTTCAAAATACAGGGATTTGTTTTGATATTTTTTGTAAGTATGCACAAAAGCAAGCCAAACCTTTTTCTTGTTATATTCATTTTAATTAATCTTAATTATAGTTGCACAAAGTATGCTTTTAAGCCATTTATCTGCATGCAGAATTTTATGCTTTTTTTTCTAAATATACTTTTAATCTCAGTAAATAAAACATTCTTTTTACAAATTATGTAGAAAACTCCCTCAAACATCTGAAATATTTTTACAACTTGAGATGATGTGCCATCTTCTTATCCTTGGTCTAACTGTATGAAATCTTATAAAACAGAGAGAACTACAGTATCTGACCTTTCCAAAAACATTTAGTAAAATCTTAAATACAGTACTTATCCAATATATAACTGATTTAGAGATGATTTACTTTATTTTAAAAGGCATTTTGTTTTTGTGTCTTAATAATTTAGTATATACATTATTTGGGTTAATGCTGCATGAATTAAGTGCTCTGAACTAAAAGTAGCTTTTTTTTGTAGTCTTTCTGATCTAAGCTTTAAACCTGAGTGTTCCACTCTTTACGTATTCCACATGTTTTTGAGAAAAAGTCAACTACTTACTATTAATAGGTAAAACTAAAACATTTGGATATTTTTAAAATTTTTATTAAGTAAAAATGTAACAGTTTAGTTCTATACCTTCACTTGGTTATTTTCTTTTGAGAACATGACATTTTGGTTGATTTTTTTTAAATGATATATTCATGCTGTTTCTTGATAATTATATGTTAAACTGAGCTATGAAGGACAAATCATTTTCTAGAAAAGGTGGAAATTTATTAGCTACAAAATGTAGATTTTCAAAACCTACCATGACAAATGAGAGTCCCTTTGAGTCTTTCTGGTATCTATCTTTCCAAATGAAGGATGTTTGTTTCTTTTTATTAGCCCTATACAATTTCTTGCATTAGGAATTTGTCTTTTCGCATACCCCAGCTTTTCTCCATGGAGACACAGACAGGGAGAAAAGCTTGGGGTCAGAACACAGGGTCTGCCATTGTACAGCGCCCCTGAAGCAGTTGGGGGTTCCTCTGCCAGCCGCAGGATTTGAACCAGCAACCTTCCAGTTGAAGGTGCAGATCCTGAGCCACAGAGCCACCTCTCCATTACTGCATTCTAAAAACACACAATACAAAATGTATTCATAAGATGGTAATACTTCCGACTCATAACTACATCATCAGACAAGTACTATTTTATTTTAGATTTTAATTTTCAAGTAAAAAATACTTTTTTTACCTTTTAATTTTTACATACATTACATTGAATGTTCAGATAAAGAAAATGGCTACATTTCTTACAGATTGCATCAGGATGTCTTGGATACTGCAAATGACATGTGTAAAGGTCCTAAAGTCAGGATACCTTCTCATTAGTTCAGCAACTATTGATCTGCTACTGTCAAAATAAGGTGATAGATATCAAAAGTGTTTCTGATTCAGTATAATACTAAAATATACATAATACATTAAAGATGTTGCATCGCAGAATTGCATTGACATGAGAGACAGTGTAGATTAAAGTAGTATGTTTCAGAATTACTGCACTGCAAAATTATGTTTTATTTTAAATAGCTTTAATACAGTACATGTATGTAGACGTCTGTGGGTCATTTTTATAGCTGGCTGTTAAGATGGACAGACTTCCTGTTAAAACGGTACATAGAACCATGTACTGTACTGTAGAGTTTATGATAAGCTGCTGATTGTATAGTTGCACAGTAGATGGCATCTTGCTAATGGTGTATCAAATGCATACTGCAGATCAGCGGAGGGCACATAGGAATTACTGTAGTTTGTTTTCTTTGCATTTGTTAAAGCAAATGTTTTCTGAACAATTTAAAAAAAAAAACTTTATGGTGATAAAGTGTCAAAATAAAAATAAACATCAACACCTCTTACAATACTTGTAGAATTCTATATTATCTATCCTTTCTGGATTACCGTTATTTGTTGCAAACCTAAACAGATCATTTCCTTATTTAAAATATGCTACACATGATGAAATTCTTTCATAGTGTAGTAACAGTCCATTCTGCAAACAGAAAAAAAATATTATTTCAGATTTTGCCAACACTTTGCCAAAGAGCAGAAGTCAAATTATTTGACTATAAATTGTTAAACAAAATTGTATTATTAATCATCAATTTAAAATACATTTATTTATAAAAAAACATAATAGAAAAAGCAAATGAAACCATCATTTTCAACATTTAATTGAATGTTTTATTTGTTGTCCTACTGTACTTTACCTACCTACAGATGCCCTACCTTAACAGCAAAGGAGTGTTGCATTTGATGTTCTGTGTAAATTTTGGAAAAGACTGCTTTATAAATTTTCTCTGAACACAGAAAAAAATCAGTGTTTAGACAACCAACATATGTACAGTAATATGAACATGAAAGTGGTTGAACATAAATCTGTCAAGTGGAACCTATGTGTCTGCACAGAAGAATTTAATTTTCCAAGTAATCACTGAGACTGAGAATACCACTGCATAGTGAAATATGTCTTATTTGGTATATTAAAGTAATGTTGCAAGAAACAATACAGCAAATGTGTCTCCAAGTCTTACTGCTGAATTGAAGGTTTGTGGAATTTAAATTATTATGACATAAAGGCAAAGAGCCATATTTTTTTAAGCAGGAGCTTGTGAAAATGATTTGAAGCATAAGTAGAACAGAGAAACAAAACTAACATGATTGCGGCTGATATGGTCACATGATTTGAATAATGTGATTTAAACAGGTATTGATATTTAAGATTTTTCTTTGTCGTTGCGGCTTATAGGACATTATGGTATTTATATTTTTTTTAAACAAAAAGCCTTTTTTTAACACTCCTGCCCCATGTCCATCCCTGTATCTAGTCTGTTCACCTGCCTGGACTCCAACCCTGTGTCCATCCCTGTGTCCAGCCTGCTCTCATGTCCCTCATCCAGCCTTTTCATCTCCCTACACTGCTGCCCTGTGTCCAGTCTGTCCTCATGCCTCTTGTTCATCCCTGTGTCCAGTCTGTCCT